CCGTTAAAAAACCTTCAGAACTTGTTAAAGCGCTTGATGCGTCGCCAATCCCCTGCGCGTCTGAGCCTCTTCATGTTGCTCCAGAGTCTGTCGTTGCTACTGATGGGTCCTCGCCTACTCACTCCTCCTGTCAGCAAGAATGCACGCAGAGTCACTTCGGCGCACCGCCAAAAACTACATCAACGAGTTTGAATGAGCACAGTCATAGGTCCGAATGGCATGGAACTGGTGGATTAAACCAACCAGAGCCATCCTACCCCACTACTGGAAATGAAAGAACCCACATGACATCCGCAAATTTACTCGAATCAGAAGAAGTCAACGCCTGGGATGATGATAGCTGGGGTGAGGCCGAAAAGATTGAGGCTGTTCGAGAATCGTCTGAAGAACCAGGACCGCATCTTAGTGTCGTTACTGATTGTACGTTTTCTTCTTCCGGCGTCCCGACTCACCCCGGGAAAATAAAACCTTCGGTTGATAGGTTACGCCAAGAATCTGCGACAAGGTCAGTCACGCAAATACCTGAGGCAGATCTAATTGGGATGCTTGACCAAGAGTCTTCTAGCGCAGGTGAATTGAAGACAGCAGCACACTCTTTCCCTTCGATCCAAGAGGTTTCTGCCTCAAGAGCTCAGCCAGTTCCTTTGGCGGTGGATACCAAAGAACAAAACCGAGTGACACATCCTACCGGCGATCCTGCACCTGAACAAATCGCCCTTGATGCATTGAGTTTAAACAGTAAATGTGAAGCTGAGTGCGTCGAACAGTCGGTACAACCATGTAAAATTGCAGTAGCGGGCAAGCATGATCTCGAGACAGAGTCAGAGTCCACAATTAACGTCGTACACAAGACCTCCTCAGCGAGTCAGGCATCGGTCGAAGCGGAAGGTTGGGACTTGACCTGTGTTTCTGCTCTGCCCTCGCTACCGCAAACCTCCAATTCTTCTTCTGGCAGAAAAGACAAAACTGAATCAAACTATTCTGTTGCATTCAAACAGATGCCAAACGACTGGGAGGCTGCTTGGATTAACGAGGAGGAGGAGGAAGAAGAAGAAGATGTAATCAAGGCACCGCCTAACCTAGCCACACCCAGTCAAAAGAAGGATACGCCCCCAGAACAATGCGGAGGCGGGACTAGGTCCGAAGAAACCAATGACGATTGGGATTTCGATGAATGGGATTGCGCAGATAAGACGCCAGCAGTAGCTGCTGCGAAGGTCACACCCAAGCCACCTACTCAGTCAGAAATCGCTCAGAAAACTACTGACAGTTCCGGAGACGTTCCCATCCTACCCGACTATCTTTCAACGGCCGCCACTTCCCTGGTCAAAACTGTTGGCGGGGGATTAGCTAGTTTTGTTGATAACTTCAGTCTCTCCAATCTGTCATCCACATTGGCGGCCTTTGATGGAGCCCCTCCGTCTACCCAACAGCCTCCGTGTACCGACTCTCCCCGAAATGATGTCAAACCCCAAGATGAAGCAGAGCCAAAGGAACCTGTGTTTCGCGGTCCCGCTGAAACAGAAACAAAAGTTGCAGTCGACGATGGTGTATGGGGTTTAGGTGGAATGTCCTGGACCTCTTTTGCAAAGTCATTTTCCTCGACTGTAGAGAATACGGTCAGTTTTGCGTTCCATAGTTGTTTCCTCACTTGCATTTCCTTTTGAGTGCTCTTGCATTCGCCGTATTAAAACCAGCTACTTACTTTCTGATAAGTTCAGGCTTCAATATTTACTTCTGAGATCCTGGTTAGTTTTATATTTGTGCGTCGGTTTTCGCATAATTGACAAGATACTACGCAAAGTAAACCACATACTCGGAATCTCAGCATGAAACAGCTGTCGGTCACGTCTTGGTCACCAAAACAATGATGGGCGCACCCAGAGCTCTTGAGTTACAAACCAGGTTTTGTTTAGCAGCAGAGGAAAACATAGGACACCAAAATGAAGAATATTTTCTCCACAGGACCTAAGCTATTCTTTCAGGCAATAGTGACTGCCTATACCAATGACAGCGTTTTATAGGTTTGTGAAGGCAAGGTCAAGGGTCTTTTTCCCAAGAGACTGTTGGTATATTAACTAAGTCGGATATTATTTGCAGGTATTGTGGCCACTAACTTGTTACAGTAGTCGCCGGTTATTAAGCCCACCTCGGG